AGGCCAAAGGAAGGACTGCTAAAAATGTTTCATTTTGACATCTGCGACATTAGTCTTGCGGTCTGCTGTGGCTTTCTCTAAAGGTTTCACCTGAGGTCATTGTTTATTTTTGGAAATCTCCACCGATAATTTTTGTTTTCTGATCAAACCCACAACACATCATTTGTTTTTGTGGATTTGCACCGGCCCATTACATTTTCCGAGCTGCTGATTGAGAGTACCGTAACTTGGCTTTACGGCAGGCCAGAAGTGCAGCAAATCAGAGCGGCTTTCATCAGGCCGGCTCTGGTCTAAAGAGGGTTCTTCATGACAGGAGAGGCTGCAAACTGGAGTGAAGTGAGCACTATAAAGCAATGAGGAAGGACGTGTAGAGAGCCTCTAGTGAGTGTCCTTTTGTAAGCTCAGGTCGTCTTCTCAGGCTGTTGTTTGTTTTGATTAATAAAAACAAATGACCCAGTCATTAATATTTATACTACCATCTTGTGGAAGTGTACTTTTAATGCAAGAGCCTGATCTGTGGCAGTGTTGAGCTGAACTGGAGGAAGTAGTTTCATTTAAGAGCTTCAAAAATTTCAAGACTAGATCCAAAAAGCTCTCATAGCAGGAAAGATTATATATCTTAAGGGTTTTGCTTTCCTCTCTGTTTAAATTTTTATGTAGGCAACAGCATGGGTTATAAGCAGGAGGATTTTCAGAAATGCACTGTGGCCGCTGCGAGCACAGTTCCACATCTTAAGACCTTTCTTTCAAGAAGAGCAAAGTTTACAGAACCTTCAGTAAAATCACCACCTCGTGGGTTTGTGCAGCCTGATATGCAAAATGCGTTAAAAGCCACATTGAACACATTGTCAGAGGTTTATACACTGCTCCAAACTTTGAAATGTTTTTCACACGCGCTCGCAGAGGAGTGTGAAGGCGTCACAAAGCGACACTTTCCAGTTTCCCAAGAAACCAGGCGAGCGATGAGCGCCGTCGCTCCCCTCTGTGGCTTTCCTACGCTTTGCTGTCGGGAATGGAAAGGCTTTAGAGGCTGCACCCACCGCTGCGAGCGGCCTCCAGCAGCCTCCCTTGGTTCAAAGTTACCACACAGCTGCTAGCTCAAGCTTAGCGAGGCCCACCTGAACACGTGCTATGGTTTATGACACAAGTTTGAAAACCACAATTTTACATTGAATGCACGATTTTTGTCTTTTTCATTTTTACTGGCTTTCATTTAACTCGGTTTTGCAAACCACATTAACAGCTTAAAGCACCATTAATTATGCTAAATTGATCTTTTTAGCCACTTTGAGGAAACAAAGCAAGCTATAAACACAACACTAATATATCACACTTTACACTGTGGGCCATAAACAGTCCACTTTGATTTTAAGTGGGCCAGACCAGTGAAACTCCTTCTGTCAGTGTAAAGAAGGTGAACTAAAATTTAGTCTATCAGATTTCTTAATACAAGAAAAATAAGTACAATTTGGACAGTATGTCAAATTTTGGGGCTTAAATTGTGAGACATAAATGTGTAGAATTAACATCACATTTCTGTAGCAGATAGTGAAAAAATAGGAGGTTTTCTGTCATTTAATTGTTTATCTATCTATTTTCCAGTGGGCCAGCCTGGAGTCTTTGCCAGACTGATTCTAGCCCCCGGGCCTTATGTTTGGCACCGCCCTGTAAAGTGTTGAAGCGTCTTCATTGGCTAACTTTTATCTATCTGATGCTCCTGCATTTGTACTTAACAGTAGATCATGTTAGCTTTTATGATAACATACAGCTGCACATGAAAAAGAGGCTAATGAGAGTTAGCGTTAATCTAAACAGGAAAGTGGTGCAAAACCAAAACAATGAGCCTAAAGACTGCAGAGGTTGGAAGTGAGCACCTCATTTGAGGTGGCACACAGCAAATATTCAATCCTGTGCTGCTTGAGCGCATCCTGTTTACCATCCCCTCATGCACGCTTTCTGTCAGTTTACTGCGTCTGCTAAAGTCTTTTTGTGGGAAAACTGGAATAACTGGCACAGTAGTGAGAAAAAAAAGGAGCAAACATAAAAAATAAACATATCAGAATGAAAGAGAAAACTGGATAAGTAAAACAGACTGCACATAGCGCCATCTGCGTGCATGTTTCCCTTCATGTCGAAGCACGTTTCTGTCTGCACAGATGTGTCTCTAAGGTAGGATGACAAAAAAACAATCATTTATTGTTGTTTATGGATCCTCTGCTTCCATCCATTTTCAGGAAATCTGTCCGACTGATAACTCCACACATTCCAATCCCAATCCCAATAATGTACTGAGGTATTTCCGTGCCTGACCCCTCCAATATCATGCACATTATCCGCATCCTGTGGTCAGTATCAGACAAAGAAATTACACTTGCACGGTGAGCAACAACAAATTGCCACTGGGCGTCTGTTTTTGGTAAATGAGACCTGCCATTTTTTTTTCACCCTTTAATCACTTTTCACTCTTCCTATCTTTTCCTTTTTCCGTTCTTTCTGGCAATCTGCCCTGCAACTGCTGCTCCCTCCATCACCGTATTGCCTGACTGCATTCCTCTCATTCCTACCGGCTTCCTGTGACTGAATGAGGAGCGAGCCCCACCGGCCACAAACCTCCACCTTGAAGTCCTTCCCATGTATCCCGTGTGCCATTTCACTCTATCGCTCCCTACCAGTGTTTTCCGTTTTAATATCCTTTTGGGAATTTGGGGGAAAATTGAGCCCCAATACCTCGCTGACATTAGGATATTTTTACTGGAGGGTCTAGTCAGACCCCACTGTCCAGAATCCAAAAGGTTTGCATGGTGAAATCTAAATACTCAGTGCTACCAGCAGCCAGAGTGCTCGTTGACTGCAAAGGCAATAAAGTGATGCTGTGAGGGTGGAAAATAAGAAGAGAGAGCTCTACTGACATCTGTAGACAATGTATTAACATAAATATTAAAAAATAAAATCATTACCAACCGTATTAGGCTGCAAATTCCAGCTGACAGTGATCACTGCCAGCTGAAAGAAGCCTGTTTTTGCCCTCCTTAATATGAATAATGATGTTTTAATAACAGCTCATGGAATGATTTAATAAATCCAAAATAAGCTAATTTATTGGCAAATGTAATTTTAGTAGCAACCGTTTCCAAATGACCTCTATATCTGTAAATAGGAGAAGCTCTGTCTGAAGCATGTGCTGTTCAAACTCGAATCAAATTCAATTTGCTCGAACGCATCTCAAATGATTCAGGCCACAGTCAGCCCCGTGACTCTGGGATGGACTGGTAAAACCTGCCAAGAGTACAAGGAAAAGCACAAAGTGCTGTTGATAGGAGGTTTTTTTTTAAATTCTCAGGCCACAATTTTCCCTTTAGGTACATAATTTAACAACCTCAAATCTACTGACTCCATCATAGGACCAGTCTGAGTCACATGAAATGGAAAAAAAATAGAACTGACCTAGTTCGCTGACAGTTATCAGTTGTTGTCTCTGTGATTAGTTTATGTTAGGTTTTCCAGTTATGCTGACTTAATCTGGATGAGCATGGATGCAAAAGAACGTGTGAGTATTTTTAGCGATAAACTCGCATATTGCTGAGGAGAGAGAAAGAGACATAACGGCAGATATTTCATAGTATCATAGTATAAACGATAGTATTTTTTATGATATAGAGAAAAAACTTGCTGAACAATGTTTTATTGATGCTTACAGCTCAGGGACAGCAGCATTTATGGGTGAATGTAAATAAATAAACTATCAAAATGGGAATCTACTGAGAATTTCCCTGGAAATTTTAAGGAGAGTAAGAACATGGCTTTTTAGTTTAATCACTAAAGATACTTAACTTTATAAAGCTTAGCCTACACAATACTGTCGCATGACAAAACTGAAGAATATTTTCTACCTGGGATGTTGTGTCCCGTGTCGAGCTCTTTTAACCAGTTGCTTAAACACGGCAGTAATTTCCATCCACCATTTGCTCGTCCTGTATGGAGTGCAACTATCGAGTGCAGCTAGCGATGCTCGGTGACTCATTTGTGTACTTTTTGGGTCACACATCACCAGCTGCTAGTACAGTACTAGGCAAACGTCTTTAGTCATCCCTCATTTCTTTATATTCTGAAAGGAACATTGGAGATAAGTGCAGTGATTCATTGAAACATGAGCAATCATACATGGAAATACAGCAAAAAGGCAAACACAGAGTTTGTACAATTGTAATGCGCTTGAAAGTCGGTTTTTCAATAAGCCACCTTTGGTCTTCCACACTGTCTCCACTCTCCAATCTCTTTCACAAGACTTCTTATAATTTCTTTAAGTACTCTTCAGGAATAGTTCTCCAGGCTCCTTCAAGGACATTCAAAGCTCTTATTTGGATGATTGCTGCCTTTCGTTCCGTTAGACTTGTTGCCACTGATTTTCAGTCCTGTTCTCTTGTAATTTAGCATACCTCAGCCTTTACTCCCTGTTTCTTATCTATAAGATTGGCTTACTGAAAGCTTCTGGTAAGACTTCAATGAACAGCAAATGCATCAAGTGAAGGGCCAGGTGCATATCTCAAGTCTTTGCTGGATTTTTATTTTTAACTCTTTTTGTTTTACCTTCACTTTAAGGACACACTGCACAACATGCTGAGATGAGTTTTCAGCTAATAGTTCTTTGGGAATCACTTTGTTGGTGCAAAATTATTATTTTATGCCTGTTAAACTGTTGTCTTTGGCATTTTTCATCGATTCAGCTAAAGAAATTGGTACAGATTGTATATTTTTCCAACAGGCTGCTAGTAACAAATGCCTAAAAACACAATTTAAAACCGGTTCTTTGATAAGTTGTTTGCAATGCGTAGAAACAACACTGGTTCATCTCTTGTGAAAGGTGCCTTTTTATGCCTGAATGGCTCAGTGTTAAGCGGCTTAAGAAAAAAAAAATCAAAACAAACATTCACCTGAAAATGATCAGGGCTGGATTGAAAATGAGTGGAAAAATCCGCCAATGTCCAAAGAAAAATTCTGAAAGATCTTTGAAAGCCTGGAGAACTATTGCTCAAGACTCACTTTAAAAAATTAAATAAAACTTTGGCTCCTTGGAAACAAAATAAAAACATTTGAGGGGTGACATATGGTATTGACTTTTTCATGGCTTCACAGCTTGGTGTGTGTTTAGCAGGAGTAATTTTCTTGCATATTTTTCAGAGTCCAGTGCATTGTTCAAGTAGCTCCTTTTTGAGGTACTAAATCATCATCGGAGGCTTGGCTCTTGCTGTCAGAGATACCTGGGCTTGTCCCATTGTTGTGAGGACCGCGGAGCACAAACGCATGGTGTTGCTGTAGCAACGATATCACAGTCTATTACTTTTATATTATGCAATGTGATATATCTACTGTCCAGTGAGGTTCACATGGTGGTCAGATGACAAATTAAAAAGTAAAATTAGCAGTTAGCAGTTAGCTAAACACAGACTGTCATGGCTTCCAGGTCATTTGTGTGGTCAGATTTACATGTGCGATAACATAAAACTGCTCCAGATGTGCACGATGTATTTGCTATAAAACTGACACATTCAAAATAACTGTTTAACTATTTGCACAATATGATCATTAATAAGGCAAAAACAACATTTCACCTGCATTGTCGTCCTGCAGCAAATCAGCAACTGCTGTGTCTACATAACTGCACATCAAACACCGAGAGTAATTCATCTTTATAGATGTATTGTGAAAGTCGTTAAGGATCGTGTTAATCAACGTTACGGTAGTTTCACTTTACTCATTGTTAAATTATGCTGTTGCTGTGGGGATGTGTAGCGTGGCTTTTGTTATGTCACCAGTGGTGACTCATCCTATTGTATTTCAGTCAACTGTTACCTACTGCGATACCTGCATTCTTCTGTTTTTGGAAGTGGAACTTAGTAACAATGCATGCGTGTATTTTTTTTTTTTCATTTTTAGCCTGATGACTGTAGCTACAAGTCTTTTTGACTGATGACATGTCACGGTAAGAAAAGCACAGGTGTCATTATTAAAATCAGTCACTGCAGTGTTCACGCTGTCAGACTCTCATGTCTCGCACACAAAAATGTAAGTAATTCCTTTGCTTTTCCTGCCATGACATCTTATATCTTAAATACAAGTTATATATTTTTTGGTGGTTGGAGGGAGAGCTATGAAAAACAAAGTTCACTCTGACATTTAGAAAATACTGAAGTCTGCTTAGCCTACAATAGAATAGAGACCAATTCTACCATTTCCACAGTTTCAGAACAAGATTGTCTACTTTGGCTTAACTAGCTTTCACTCAGTGTACAGTAGATACACTCGTTGACCGGTTTATTAGGTACACATGTTTAAATGCTCATTAACACAAATGTCTAATCAGCCATTTGAATGTGAAGTGGTTGCTGGTGCCAGACAGGCTTTTCTGAGTATTTCAGAAACTGCTGATCTATTCCACACCATCTCTAGGGTTTACAGGGAACAATCAACAAAAATAAAAATAGAGAAAAACCATCCAGTTAGTCTTTGACTGAAAATGCCTCGATGACGTCAGAAGTCAAAGGAAAAGTACCACAATGTAACTGAAATAACCAGAAGCAGAAGACCACACAGGGTGCCACGCCTGAAAGCTAAGAACAGGAAACTGTGTTTACACTTCAAATGGGCTCACTAAAAGTGAACAAAAATAGAACATTTCTGTTGTGTTAATCTGATGGTAGGGTCAGAATTTGTTGCAAACAGCATGAATGCATGGATCCATCATGCCATGTGTTAATGGTTGCGGCTGCTGTTGGTGGCATAACGATGTAGAGGATATTATCTTGGCAACTGGCAACAGCCTATCAGAGTATTGCTGCTGACCAGGTCAGTCCCTTTATGACTGCAGTGTAGCCATCTTCTGATGGCTGCCTCCTGCCCCGTGTCACAAACTTCAAATCATCTCAAACTGGTTTCTTGGATATGGCAATGAGTTCACTGTCCTCCACACTCAGCAGACCTCAATCCAACAGAGCACCTTTGGGATGTGGAGATTGCGTCATGGTTGAGCAGCTCACAAATCTGCTGTGTGACGCTGTCACGTCAGTACGGACCAGGGAAAGTTTCCAAAACCTTGCTGAATGTGTACCAAGAAGAATTAAGGAAGTCCTGAAGGTAAAACAGGGTCCAACTCAGTACTAGCAACGTGTACACAGTGAGTGTTTCTTACTTGTAGCACAACAGTTTGCAATATAGCATAAAGTACAGGAACAACGAAGTGATTCAAACTGATTATAAATCTATGTTGAAACGGTCTGTGGATATATTGGTACGTTTTTTCACGTTTATGCCAGATAGAGCAGATGACACACACACAGACACACACACATATCCGCATCTCCCTTACCCCGCGGAGTTCAGCAGATGGAGCCCGCACACCAGCAGCACACACGCGGATGAAAGTGAGACTTCAAGCTGGTTTTATCAGCAGTTTCAACACCGACAGACGAACTCGGTGAGGAGGAGACAGATAAATAGAAAGCAGTGCGTGCACACTCGCTTTCTCTTACATAAGTTGATTACCGAGACATTTCGGAGCGCGGAGGTGATGTTATACTGTACGTACGGACGTACGGCTTAGACAGCGGCGCGCGCTCACGGCTGAAGCTGTCGCTTTTGATATTTTTACCTCGCGCAGTCAGATAACTGTCACAATAACGGAGGAAAAACCCCGGCGAAGATGACGAGGATAGGCTGTTGGACTGTGCTTACGTTCGCCCGACTTGGTGTAGCTGCCTCGTAACGGGATTTTTACTCCCACCTGCCTTTGAAAGTTTCAAACACGTCGCTTTTGAACTTCACCTCCAAAAGGTAGGCGGTGTTTACTTTCTTAAAGTGTTCTGCAAAAGTAGCTAGAAAACGTGGTAAATGTTCCAATTACTTTAAAAAAAAAAATCCACTGTCACTTTATTACTTTCTTGTGCACGTAGCCGAACTACTTACTGTGTCCACACTGTTGTATTGTGAAAATGTGAATTCAATTTCAGCTCCTCTGTTTAAAAAAAACAAAACAAAAAACACTACAACAAAATTTTTTTGACTTCAGTCCAAAATCTGCAGGTGTAAATCCTAACATGACCGTGATGTTTACACTTCAAAAATCGCTGGTGTACAACTGTTTAAAAACTGCTTAAATTACTATCATTATTATTTTAAATAAAGTGAGTTTCCATGTCTCGAGATCATGACCCTGCTATGGAAGTATTTAACAAAGAACTGAATGTGTAACAAAAGGTGGCCCGGTAATCTAATCTGGCAGACAACATGACTATTTTAGGGCATTAAATGGGGCAAATAAGTGTGCAATTATGGCGTTAAGGCCTCATTGTGAGTGGTAGTGTAGAATTTCCTGTTGGATCTATATCTGCCCATAGCTGACAAACTCCACTGCTCATTCACTACTAGGAAACAAATGTTTGGTTGTATGATGGACTGTGGGCTGATGTGCTTTAATATGAGAGAAGTCGTGGAATAAGAAAACAGTTCAATCCCACCCAAGCCCCTTCAATCCAGGGAAAATAAAAGCACACCCACATATACACACCCACAGCAGCCATGCTGGTGTAATGGTCTCATGTGTCCAGGTTTGCTCCCTCTCTCACCACGGGATGAGGTCATAGCCTTTAGTGCTGTTACAGAGATACAGTTACATTAGTTTAATGTGGGCCGTGCCAGAGGAATCGACACCACCTACACCCCGCGGCCCCTTTCTGTTGCCTTTTAGATTTCTCTGCTCGCATCTATGTCCCTTTGTGTTTACAAAAGTGTATCCCTGAATAAAGACTTTGATCATATTGTATTTACCAGGCCTTGCTGTTAGCTTATCACCTTACCTAAACTATTCCCTTTAGCCCACAGGCTGTGGCAGCACATGGGTTAGTCACTATGACTAGGCCTTCCATGGCAGAGAGAACAAAAAGAAAAGATGATTCACGCCTACAATGCTGATGTAGAAATTGTGTTACTGTCTGCCTATGGTAAACCGAGGCCTTTCGCAGTCAACTTAACTTTAGCTTTTTCTCACACAGCAAACATGAACTGACAGTGACACTTTGGTCTAAGTAGCCTATCTGTGGTGGGGGCTGAAATCAGTCAGTGTTGTTTTGTTTGGTTTTGCAGCATGAAGCCCAGTTTCACTTTGCATTGGGGGTCATAGAAATAAATGGTGGTTTAAAAATACTAAATCACTGTATTTATTTATTTAACCTAGCGATTAACCAGTTGGTTTGGCTCATCTTATAGGGGACACTAGTCATCATAGACTTGATTCCCACAAACCCAGTGGGACATACAGTATAATAGGAACCATTGGTCTTAATGAAAGCCTGATTTGAAGAGCCCAAGATCATGTGTTTGATTATCAAAGTAGATGTGGATACATTTTCTCTTGAATTCCTAATTGGTTCATTCGTTTTGAGATGATACGATAGAGATCTATCACACAGAACAAAGGAACTGTTGTTTTCCAGTTGTTTCTTTTCTTTTCGTGAATTATACGCACTGGATAGATTATCATGGTAGTCGCCAGTTTATTTTCATTGTCAACCAGCAAATAATTTATGGTCTAAATGGGAGCTGTAGTATTGATTTTATCGAGCAGAGATCATAAACTGACCATGTAAATGTTTTATTTTCACTTTGCATGCTGCATTGATGACTAAGCTGACCAGTTAGGGATCTTCCACCACCAGCATTAATCACATCTTTCCAGTATATTTCGTCAGTGGTTTAAAAACAGTTGAGCAAACACTGATAGAGAACCTTTTTCTGACCCCTCTTGATTGGAAATAAACTCATACATTTATAGTAAGAGGCACAACAAAGACATATTTAGTGATAGGGTCATCATCCGGTATCCATTTTGGGTGTCTCTTTGTCCTTTGTAGGGTAGTTATGGAGGAGAATATTAACCTTTTCCCAGGACAGATAACCTTTAAAAGTCCCGAGTGTTTTCCCTGTGTGAGCTCTGACAATAGGGACAGTGTTCTGGGCTGGCCAGAGCCCCAGATCACATTTCCTGTTCCTGATTTAAAATCAGCTCAGCTGACTACTGATACACTCTGCTCCTCAAAAAAAAAACAGTAACAGGACCATCACCCTGTTGTTTATCATGTGAACTCGTGTTTTTGTTTGTGAGAGAGAACGGGCATAAAATGAAGCGTAATAGGGAAATCAAAGTTCAATCAAAGACCGTGAGCAGCAGCAAAAAGCTAGATTGTACCAGAAGACAGTAAGCTTATTCTTACTAACTGCAGGGTGTATTTGAAACAAAGACGCCCTTCAGTGTACATAGTCTTCTTATTAGTGTGCAATAACAGTCAGCGATACATAGTATACCACAGACACACGAGCGAATTAGAGTAGGAAGTCAATATGAGAACCTGTTTTCTCAGTCAAATCAGCCTTGTGCCAGGTGCTGGCTTTTACAGGAAAAAAAAGATGTTTGCCTATATTTCTGCATGTGTGGGCGTGTAAAGGCCACGATCCGTCACATAACATCTGGTAATATCTGGATTACAGAGTAGGATGAATGTCTGTGGGTGGAGATGGGTTGTGCAGACTATTGATCTGAATCAGACCATGCTCAGATGATCAGTCACTGAAGTACTTTCTTTTGAAGTACGTAAAGCAAGTCAGTCGGTGCTCCCATCAGGTCAAACAGTGGTTCATGCCTTCATTTGCATGATTAAGGGCAGAGTTATGTAAACATGTGTGTAAACATGTGTGTGCCAACACCTTTCAGAGCTTTAAAGCCTCATTGTTAGTCCTAAGAGTGAGAGGTACATCGTGCATGTGCGCATTTGTGTGTGTCCTGTGTGTGTCCTCAGGCAAATTTCGGACTCATCCCAGCCAAAAGTTATCTCTTTTTTCCCCCTCTTCCAAAAAACAATGACCTCTTGGAAGTCTTGAAAGAGAAATAATGAAACCATTTCAACAATTGTCTGTCTTTTTGTCTGTGAGACATCGAGTTGGAGAATCACACTATGGGAGTCATATCCTCCCATTTGCAGCGAACTGCTGACCCCTCACCTTTTCCACCCCAGTTCAGCAACACATCATCACTAAGAAAAGTCTTATGTTATGGTGGAGTGTTGAAGGAACAGTCGCCAAAGCAGCACTGATGGCCATGACAGAAAGACGCGCTCACATATTTGCATCTGCTTTGTGTCCTGTTGAAGTTAAATGCAGGTATGCATGACTTGTGTTGTGGTGTTCTAAAGAGCTGTTCACACTGGTTTTGCCAGGGTTTAAAGAGCAAACCAAATCACAGTAAGAGGAGTTAAGCCTGTTCAGTTTCTCAATCAGTAGCTATGCCTTAGGGGTGCTTAAAAAGTGAGCACGGGCTGTTTTAAATATCTGTGTCGAGCCGCACAGCATGACAACGCTTGACAACCACACAACAATGGCATTAATCCCACCCATGATGCCAAATGGCTAATCGTCACTCCTTCTGCTGTACTACTGATTCCAGATGTTTCCACCAACTCAGTTTTGTGGGCATGTTTAAATAATTACACACATCTCATTATGAAACATATGCCAAAGACATACAGAAAATTCATTGCAGACATTTCAACATGTTTTCCTTGGATTGAGTTATTAAATGTATAGTTGTATGGTTCCAGTTTCCTACATTTTTCATCATTTTCTATCATAGTAGGACTGAATACCCTCATCTTTGGGATTTAATTTAAATTCACTGCTGTAGCTTCTTGGAAATCTCAATGTTGACATGACAGCTAACAAAAACCAAACAACTGATCAACTAATCTAGAAATACACACAACAGCAAATTTATTTACTGCAAGCAAACTTCATTCACTAATAAATACCAATTATTGAACTTAAATCACAATAAGAGATACCTGAACTTATTTCTGTCCTATAAGACATCTATTTATTTTATATTTTGGCGATTGTCTTGCAAAAGCTGCCAACTGTTCATACAATGAACCAATATTTTCAATCTGCTGATAATGTTTGGACATTTACTCAGAAATCACATTAAATCTATCAATAGGACTGATATAATTCAAATTAGGTTGAAGCTACTGACAGCAGGGATGCGTATTCTGGACTTTATAAATTTGTGCCGTCCAAACTTTTCTCCCCCTACATGAACTTAAAGTTTTATCAGTTATCACAGAGTTCAAGTGGGAAAACTGCATGTGGTGGGTATAATTGATAGCTGATGAAAAATAGCAGTAGCCAGAAAGAAGCATCAACATTGTGCTTAGAAATCATCACCTGTGTATTTTGACTTTTGTTGCCATGATGCCAGGTCTCTCTTGGAAATGAGATTTTTAATTTCAATGAGATTTTTTTACCTGGATAAATAAAGGACTAATAAAATCTAGTCCGAACATTCACAATAAAATCAAAGATAAAACTAACCACAGAGCTTTGTGGGTTCTGCCTTTAGCATTGAGTCGATGTTCCATGCGACAACGTCCACAGCTAATACTGTGATCACAATTTCGCCTATCTCTAAGGGGAAAATTCTTGATATTGCCCAAGACATATGCTCATGTGACAAATCATCTTTCGGCCTAACTGAGATCCAGACGCACGAACGCCACAGATACACAGAAACATTTGTGGGCAGATGAGAATGCTATTAATACACACATAAGCACACACAGCCTCTCTCACACACACATGACACACACTCATTAAAGCAAGTGGTGCGATGCTATTAATATGTGGAGAAACCGGCACTGTCCTCAATCACATGCACTTGCTTGATTACACACAATAACACAAGTGTTAAATGACAGGTGACACTAAAAATAAACTGGCACGGTTACATATGCTGAAACTTGCTCAGAGAGCCACAGTGTTCCTTCAGCAGAAACAAATGGCCACTATTAATACACTTAATACACCAACACAAGCACTATTAGCCGTGTATGCACCCTCAACTGTCACACAAGCAGACTCTTCTTATGCAAACACAAAGACCTGCTGTGTACACTCAAAAGAAACAACTGCAAGCTATTAATATCTTAGGGTGCATAGGATGGACAAACACACACACACACACACACACACACACACACACACACACACACACACACACACACACACACAATGAACACATAAGGAGATTGATACTCCAGCTGCTCGGAAGTGGGGGACAGAATGTGTGCAGCAGCTGTGGATTCCTATGAACGTAAGGAAGAGGAAGGGAGGCAGTGGAGGGTGGAGGGATAGGTGGCAGGAGTGGGGGCTGCTAAAGGTGTCCCGCTTGGTGGAGAAGATGTCATTTTCTTTCCATTATGAGTGCACAGGCTGGCATATTTGAGGCTTCAGTGTATTCATTTTTTTTTTTTTTTGTTTATTTTATTCCTTTCGATGTATTTTTCCTCTGAACTTCTGCTCTTTCTGCTTTGTTGCTCTTCTAACGAAGCATAAACCTCACGCCTGCTGCTAGTGTTTATGTATATAGTAACAGTAACTAGCACTTAACATGATGTGTGACATCCAGGCTTAACTCCATCCAATACCACTGTGGAGTTCAGGCTAAACCAGCAATAAACAAAGCACATTTTAGCCACAGCGTGAATATAAATACTACTGAACGATATCTGTAGCTCTCTTGAGCTGCAAAGAAGCCATTCAACCAAAATAGCAGTTTCTGCTTGCCTAAATGAACCAAGAGGATGTTATGGTGAAGACTAACTTTAGAAACAGGAAGTCACTGTTTCTTTGTGAGTGTGTGCCTGTGTGTGTGTGCGAGTGTGTGCTCCAGTAAATTGTATGCGTGTGTGCAGGTGCGCGTGTGTGTGTGTCAGTGCATCAGCATGTTGCTGCAGTAGGGCCCACAGAAAGAGGATGGTGGTTGTGAAACGAATATGCTATTACAGAAACCAGAAGTTTGTCCCCTGTCTATTTTTAGCAGCACAACGCTGAAAAGAGAGACAGCGAAGCACGCACACAGATCTTATCGGCATGCACTTCTCTTTATTATAAAGTGCTCCAGATTTTTGTCTTGTAATTATGCAGCTCTTGCATTGTTTTAGGGTGAGAAATAAAACATTGCGACAAATGACGATGGCTAAAAACACCTTTATTCTTGCTTTTGTCATGCCAAAACAAGTGTGTGCTGTGTATGTCTCCTCTTTTAGGCTGTGTTGGTAATATGATAGAAAGCAACCACGAGTTGCTGGAACCCTTCAGGGTCAGCATAGAAGAAACCTTAACTGTTTAGGTAACTCTTTAAATGTACATTGTGGTTACTGGGGTGTTTGTTTTTTTTCGTCGAGTCAGATAATGAGTCACGCTGTAACGCTGCCTAAAGGAACAGCTTCAGTGTCAGTACAAAAAAAACCCCACATTTGTTTGGAAATTTGGCTTTTTTAAGTTGTAAATGTTGTAAATATAATATAAATAACATTGGGGTGATGTTGAAAGTGAGTTGAAGCCAGAGATGTATGGCTGTTGCGAAATGAAAAATGTGCCACAGGTGTTTGTTTTCTGTTTAGAAGAGAGATTGGCTTCCTGATCATTTCCTCTTTCTCAGGGGAGCTCACTCGTTTGATGAGCATGTGTGTGTGTGTGTGTGCGCGCGCATGTGAGCGTGGGTGTGTGTACGTGTGTGCAAGTTTGTCTGAGTCTCCACCACCACCGCCGGCCCGCTCCTCCAGTGATTGTCTGATTTCCTTTGAAAACACACAGCCATTCTTCTTGTAATACATACTGTGCTGCAGCTACTGGTACTTCCTGTTGCACCTTTTGCTTTATTATTACAGTAGAAGCTTAAGAAAATAAGCCCCTTGAATTTTAACAGTGTTGCATAATGTTCTATTGCAAAGGTATGAACCAGATGACAGTGGAGGGAGGCCCAGATATTTCTGATTGTCAGAGATGAAGTTTTGTCTGATGTGTCACAGATTACTTGAGTTAACTTGCAAGGTAGGATTCCAGTAAGGCACGGACGAGAAGCCTGTAAAAATGCAGGCTTCATTTTTTTTTCCTAGAGACCTTTTTGTCCCATCTTTATCTCTACTGCTGTCGTGGGTTTTAGCCGTGACACAAAAGCTCATCTGTGCGTTACAATACAGCAAATATTAAAACCCAAGGCTGTCCCTGTGAACAGAAAGTGTTATAGTGAGCTCAGAGTTCTGCTATCAAGCAGGGTAACAGAACTGAAACCATTTGGTTTAAACTGTAAAGTACTATATTGAACTTACTGAATATTAATTCCCACCCTGTATTTGTTTGTTTGTTTTTTCCTTTATGTGTTAATGAGCCACATAGCCTGCAGTCATAAGAGTGTGGGAGTGTTTCTTTCTTCAGAGGAATTGTGTCAACTCAAAATACTTTTCACACACATGATTATTTTCTTCTGAGTCAGGATTGCTGTGAGGAATGACAGCCAAACCACATTGTCTGGGCTGTCTGCAGATGTAGGGCTGTGGCTGAGAATGGAGGCCAGTTGAGAAGAACTGTGTAGCCTGTAGTTTTGTTTTGGGCTGGTTGGAGCTAATAACTGCAGCTGCTGTGGATTCTAATAGCCTAATTTCAACACACGCTGGAGGTTAAGACAGAGAAATCAGTGTTTCTGAATCTTTTAGGGTGCGTTATCAGTGTAGTAGATTTCATTGTGTGATCCTATTTGTTAAATTGACAACTCCTATAACAACTGAATAGCTGCAGTGAAAGAAGATCTTCTCACATTTTGTGACATGAGAGAAATTTGCTACTCCCTCTACTGTGCTTTCCACAAAAGTTACTCTAATTTAACACAATATACCAGTAAAGAAAGAAGGGAAAAAAATGTCCACTTACAGGACTTATGTGAGTAATATTGTGTAATATTTTAGGTTACAGTCATTCAGACATACGGGTTCAGTAAATTTCCTCATTCTTACATCCCTCCCATTGCTCTTTACCCTGGAGGGAGCAAGGTGTCTCCTTCCATACTGTATCTCTCTATGCTTTTGTATCAGTACCGAAACATTCCTCATCACATTCATTGGTTTCATGTGTCAGTTGTATTGAAACGTAAGAACAGTATGAAGTTACCTGTGGCCATGCATTGTGAACGCTTTTGTTTGTAATCGCAAAATGTGAGACAAACTTCAGCTTGGTGCTTTCTCACTTGTAGCTATAATTAGCCTCCATGTGTGTTTTATCTTTTCCAGGTCATACCATCAGGCCCACATTGGGCCATGCATGCTATGGTTAAATGATTTGTGGTGAAAGTAAAATAAGACATGATATTTATGTTTTCGGTGGCCTTAAGAGTGCATAAATTGATCAAAACATTTTTGCACCGCCCCCCACCGCACACACACACCTTTAAAAAGACATCTGTTTTTCATTAGGACACCGAGACCCGATTCAGATGTCTCGCTCGTGCTAATTTAGGCTTTTATTTCTTTCGCTTTTAGCAAAACCTGAAAGGGTGACGACAGATTCATGTGCCTGATCCAAACGACTTAACCGCACAACGTTAAAATACAACTTCCCACCCTGTTTCTTTCACTTCTTTTATGCATCTCCAACGCCAGCATATACAAGAATCTTTCATTTTTGTGCTTTCTGAATGTAATGTCCTCGGTATAAACCGGGAGGAGACACAAATTTGGAGCCATCCGCTGTTGCAAACCCCTTGTGCTTAAGGGAGCAGACAGAAGAAGCTTTAGTTTTGGATAATGAGCAGTTTACTTGAAGCGGGAAAACTTGAATGTGGTGATGATCTCTCTATGACAGGCAAACTTCAGAACAAGTGATGCAGATGAAGCAAGAAATGTTAAAGAGAAGCCTTCTGATTTTTCATCTGCTACCTGCATAACAGTATCTATTTGCACAGTCAGCAACATAATATGTTTCTCTCTCTCTCTCTCTCTCTCTCTCTGCCTCTCTTTCTCCATCTTTAGTGGATGTGATCATCAGTAAGCAGGTTTCTTTGCCCGTTAATGGGAATCCACCCATGGACCTAAGTGTGACCCGCAGGTTGTTACATCCAGGCCCAGATTCGGCCATGCTGGCCCCCCGCCCTCCTTTCTTCATGGGATCCCTCACCGCTCAACATTGTGCCCAATTCTCCCAGCAGCACTTGCAGGTGAGGTCAAACTTAGATGTCAGTTCTCACCTAGTTGAGCTGGACAATGAAGCTTCAGCATGAATTGGACATAGCATGGATCAGTGCACTGGCTGAAATCAGCCAGTTTAAATCTTTACATTGAAAGTTTCTGTTTCCTCAAAATTCAGTGCATGGAAACAGAGACCAAATACCCTCATGACATTTTGCCCCTGTTCCAAAATTGCCACATCTGGCATTTATTTACATGACTATAAGGTAGAATGACCACCTGCCACATCAGCCACAGAAAAAAGCAGCTGCTTTCACCGCAGACCTTTAACCAGGTACTGTGCAGGACTCCTCAGAAATGAGTAAGAAGCAGATTTAGGTTACTATAAACAAACCATTTTCTCGGCATTTAATTTGTTATTGACACTTGTCACAGATTAACTGACTGATGCAACACTTCAGTATCCTGTTTTTTTTCTTCTATTTTTGTAAGCTATCTTATTCAAGATGTGTGTGTTTATGTGCTTGTCAGAGACTGACAGTTGCAGCTTTTGTCCTTTGCTTGTGTAGATTTTAAAAATGCATTTCTCTGTGTTTTTTCCGTCAGTATAACATCGAACAAAGGCAAAGAGAGATGAGTGAGGAGAAAAGAGAAGAGCTACATCAGCTGATTCAAAAGAGTAAAAACGAGCAGAGTGAGTCCTGTGTTTTCTGTTTTCTCCACACTGTCATGTGTTTTCATCAGTTCTTTAAGCGACCATAAGGTGGTTTACGTGCTCTTCTTCTGAGTCATAGCACACTGTATGTTTTACTGAAAAAGAGGGGGATTTCCAGCAGTACTGTGAGGTATTCTCAGATTCCAGGGAAATTTGCACTCATATCAAACCAAAGTCAAACAAACAAGCTTGTTTTAGGAAAGCGTTTTTATTTTTACAATGTAGAGGAAATGAAGAGTGCAAAGAGGATCTTGGCTCTTACTTCTGAATTTTCTTGAACGCTTTATGGGAAGTTGTAATAGAAAACGGTTGTAATTAGACTATTTAAATACTAAATCACTATTATTTCTTATTGTCATCTACACTCTTGGACATATATCTACCTGCCCTTTGACTGTGTATGATCTTTTTCTTTCTTGACAGGTGCTATAGCCAGTCCCCTGGTAAAGCAGAAACTTCGGGAACACATAATTATGAAGAGCCAGCCAACCCATGATAGAGTGACTCCCAACCACAGCAGTCCTGCCCCAGGATTCGGGTGAGAGACATCAATGATTTTTCATTGATACAAACACAAAACAAATGCAAACACAGCACACGCTGAGCAAAAACTTTCTTGTGGTTACTTAAAATTGACACAGTCTGTTGTTTTGTTTTGGTCACAAGGCTCCGGGTTCCTGATATGTCCCCGAAGCCTCAGCCTACACCCTGTGACCAGCGCGCCTTGAGAAGAACAGGTGAGACTCCTGCGGCTGTAGCCGTGTCCGAGATTGTGGTTCTCACCCTGAGGTTAAATTTGTAGAGGTCATGTGATTTTAAATTTTAAGTCTGCTAGACTGAAATCACCTGCAATGCTAACACTTAATGTTTAAACAACCTGTCTTCATTGTCACTGACCTGTCCAAATAATGGAAAAAGTGAGGGAGAAAAGGCGTGTCCTTTGCATTGAGATGAGAGAAACTCATTTTTACATCAGCCCTGCAGCGTCAAAGAGAGGTTGAACAGCCATAAATAAAACAAACAAAAAAAAAACAATAGATACAGTGAGACACAAAGACCTGAGCGGTTATATAACTTGGTAAGGTATGTGTAAAATGAACTGCGTGAGAGTCCAGAGCAGTTCTCCATCACTGTGTGAATGAGAGCGAGCGTGGTCACGCCTTCCTCTACATTTCTCTGAGTACACGTACCATTATTTATTTGCGTTACCCTAGAACCATCAGCGCGCACACACACACACCCTCCAGTGCTTTTGTTGGCTCTGTGACAACACAAATTTTTCTTTTATCCACTTTGAGTCAGCCACTGATTGATTACTTTATTCAGGTTTATTGGAGACTGACCAATGTATACAATGGACGTTTTGATTCTCTTGTCCAGGGCTGAGGTATTTGTTTTGTGGGGTTATGGTACAGAAATTGAGCACGTCATTATAGTGTGTGCGTTGTTGAGTCGGTGCTTTCCTGCCAGTGTAGCCGATGTATAAAGCAATGATATAGTAATGTGAGTTTGAGAACTACAAATACCTTTCTTTACTCTTGATGAGAGCTTATGTGCCCATTTCTTCACGTGTTTGTGTGTGCGTGTGTTTGTGTGTGTGTGTGTGTGTGTGTGTGCAGTGTCTGAGCCCACACTGAAGTGGAAGTTAAAGAAACTCATCACCACAAGGCCAAACCCGCTGCAGCGAAAGATCAGTGCCCCTCCTGCAGTCAAGCACAGGACCGAAACTCTGGGTAAACTATTTACATTCACTTGGATCTCTGTCAGAGTTTTATTCTTCGGCTCTGTTAGCCGTTTCTTGTTAAAGTTTCTTTGATCTCGCCTTTCTAACCTTCCAGAAGCGCTCACCATCAGATTTCAGCACAGCTTGATCAATTTTCCATTATGGCGTAAGCAACTGATACTGGTGGGCCTCATAGGTTTCTTTCCATTCTGTCGTGCAGAGTCTTCCCAGAGTGGCAGCAGCAATCCAGCATCAGGGTGCAGCTCTCCAAATGACAGCCTCCATTCAGATAATGGGTCCTTACCGCTGGCTCATGAGGTAAGCCCTTTTGTATATATATAAGTACATATAGCAGGTTTTCTTGTCCTCCTTAGCATATAATGAATGCACAGTGAATCCTCAGTGAACTATTTAACCATACACAAGGTTTTTTAAACTTTTCATTATGCATTAATTTAAACAGTACATCCAACTTCTCTCTGTTCTGAGAAGTAGAAAAATATACACTTGAAGTACTGAAATGCTTAATTCTGATCTTTTCGGTCCTCCATCTATAGCCGAATAGCCGATGTCAAAATAAATTTGTGCAGTTTTCTTTTCACTATGTTGAACATATTTATCCTTGACTTGATAGTTTTGATAGTACTGTATATATAGTACTGTATTTAACACTTTTACTACAATCAGGTTCAGGTTTAGATAAGTAGATATATTTAGAGATCAATAATATGTTAAAAATGTAACGAAAATAACCTTCCTCATTCAGTCACAGAGGCTGTTGCTGAAGGATGGTAATTTAGCTCGATTCACTGTGCCTTCCAATCCCCCTGGGATCCCCAACATCACTGCTGGACTTCCTGCACAGGTGAGCAGTGCTAGGATTTCCTCCAGAATCATTGCATACAATATTGAGGTTGTGCTGCTCCTGTTCCTGAAACTAGCACCACTTTAAAGGACACAGCTTGTATAGATAAACATTCATACTGTTGATCTATTTGTATTCAAGTGCGATATCGTTTCTGAAATAGTGCCTGCACACATGAACACTTATAGAAACTTGTGGTTTCACTTCCTTCTTGAACTGTGTGCGGCTTCTATATTTTGTGAGTCTCTCTTGGTAATTTACCACCTTTTTGACTACAATAACACAGTTCAGCAGTCCATCTATGCACTGTGACAGGCTGTCAAACCCCTAAACTATCCATTAATACTCAGCTTTTCTCATTTTTAGACTACCATAAGAGGGAAATTAAATTAAATTAAATTACTAGTGATTGCTTTAGAATTTCCTGTCATCTCCTCTCGTCTTTCATTCTCTTCTCTTTCCCTAGGCTGACTTGCGAGAAGCAAGGCCATTGGCAGTATCTGGTCTCCATCAGGTTTACTTGCCTCTGGAAGAAAGCAGTCCAGCTCTTTCTCAGCGGCTACAGCCTGTGTTCATACTGGATCCACACACCAGGCTTCTGCGCCCCCAGCTTGTCTCTCGTGAGTTGTATTCCTGTTATTCCTCAATGTGCATATTGAACACACTTCCTTTGCATTGCTTACTCAATGGCAAGTCAGTGGGATGGTTGTTCACAGACTTTATGTTTGTTTTATTTATATAATGTAAGTAAATGTATGTACATATGAATTCTAGATACAATACAACAGCAGTGCATTTTACTTTTTTGAAAAATAGCAGTCAGTAAAAATATGAAATAATGACGACGTAACACATAAACAAGTCCAGTTAAGCCTGAATATGGTGAACTTGGAAACAGAGATGAGTGGAATTTAACAAAACAACCACAGTAAGTCTTGTTAACAAATTTAGAATGACATTTGCTAGATATATATATATATATTGATTGATTGTGTTATTAAAACTGGAAAGTGGGGGCTCTATAAAGAACTACATAACAGTCTGCACTTCACACTTTTTCACATTGTTTATAGTCAAACTCTTTATTAATTAATTAATTTCAACCTCTGACAGGATCTTTTGCTCTAAGCACAGAGATTTAATTACCTCTTTTCATAGTTTTTCTTTTATCCATGATTTCTGAACTGAGCCCAACAAATAAGCATTTCCTTTTCTTCTATTCCTGTAGTGAATCTCTCAGTTTCACCCTGTGAGAAATTGTGCTTCTTCTTTACTGTTATCTTAACCTGAGATTTGTTTTGTTTTTTGTTTTTTGTTTTTAAAAAGAGCTATTGCATATGCTAATGCTGAAATAAGGCACCGACTCCGTTCATTCATGACTGATAATGGAAGAGGAAGTCGGGCTCAAAGAATGAGATATATAAAGTAGGGTAGTGTAGGCGCACAGCTCTAAAAATCTGAGTAAAAGAATGTAAATAAATGTCTGCCATTCTAAGTACACATAGCTTTAGTTATGAATGGACGCTGACTTGCATCAGATCCATCCTGACTCGCTCTACTGATGCTAAAACAAGTTCAAATGACTGCATTTAAAAAGGTGTGTTTGTGAGAGGTCTCTAAGACTCTATCGAGAGAAGATCGATACCTTGTCTGTGTTGTGCTGTGTTTCTCTTGCATCATTTTTCAAAATGGCACGAGGGCGCTCTCTGCTGTAAGTGCTGCTCTACATGCAAGCAATGCATGGCTCTCAATATTTTTCTTTTTGAGTGTTTTTAATATGAAATACAGCTGTGGAATATTTCATCCTTCTACAGTTGAGTCCAATAACAATAATCGATTTAGATTGGATTTTTTTTTTCCTGCATTCTTGTTTTTCACCTCTTCTAAAACATTACGTTTCTTCTCTTCTCCACAGTTCCTGGTTTGAGCACCATCTCTCTGCAGCAGCACCCTCACCTGTCTACTCTGTCCAGAAGAGAAGGTCACAAACCTTTGGAACGAACACGTTCAGAACCGCCACCCTACAGCCACTCACAGTTATCTCTGCAAACCAGCCATCACCCGCACATCCAACACTCGCTGAACCAGCAGTACCACAGGAGCGGGGTGGAGAGATTCAAGCAGAATTCACACCTGAGCAAGGTGAAAGGGGGCTCATTTCTTAAGAAGTACTAGTCTAGTAGTACTAGATTATACTAGACTAGTACTAACAGATTGACTAATGACCACTGTGTGCACCTGCTTGGATTTCCTTTTTCATGATCAGTCTTACTGAAATATGTCTTAAAGAGAGTCCTTATTTTAAGAATTGAAAACTGTAAAAGTTCTAGCTTACGTGAGCTGGGAAAAAAAGATAGATAATAGGCTTCCTCTGACACAGATCCCATCAGAGGACATGGACCTAGAGGAGACTGGATCGGGATCAGGTTCGGGGACAGGTTCTGTGTGCGGCTCAGAGCCCGGATCAATTTGTGAGGATGACTATCGGCGGAGACAGAGCAACGCCAGCACAGACTCTGTGTACGACACAGAGTCTACTACCTCCTCCCGGGAGAGCTTGATCGAGCCCTCCTACTCTTACAATCAGGTAAAAGTCACTCTTACATGTGCACACATAGAAATTATTCTTATTTTTTTATTGCCTCCTGGCGCATGAATCAGTGAATCTTTTCTAATGACCTTAATCAGTAACATATCTTATCATGAGTGCCCCTTTCTGGTCCACTAATGATTGAGTATTAGTTAGCAGGTTAGCAGACAGTATTATGATTACCATTATCTTGCATCCGTAACATAAATGAATTCTTTCGAATGGAGCGTCTTTTTGCCATCAGGAGGCACTGTTGCCTTGCTAATACAAGCAGAAGACTTTGATTTACAGTATCACTTCAGTATTCTTGGAAGAGCTCACTTTTCTTTATCAACAGTCTGTTTTAGAGAAGGAGAAATAAACACACCAAATAATAAGTCTCTTATTTGAGTTTAGCATATTGTGTATGTGACAGGTTTCCTGCAGGGAGTCTTTACTATGTGCAGCTGCTGATAAATCCTTACATATTCTTGTCTATTGTCTGTTCTTTTTTTCACCCACTGTTCTTGCAGAGGCAGGTGATCCTTAGACCAAGTCTGCAGATAGATCCGATGGGTGTGCCATCCTTAATTTGGCCTCACCAGCCTGTCAGTCGGTCCCGGTCCTCCCCTGCCTCCACCTCCCTGCCTCCTGCTTCACATCAACCCACCACCATACCTTCCATGTCATTATCCAACCCTGCTACAGACACCCAGCTGCGCTTCACCACAGGTGAGTGACAGTTGATCAGCAACATTAAAAGAAGCATTCCAACTACCTGAGGATGTAATTTGATTACAAGATATGACAATGGTATTACAACATTATTGAAGAGGGACAATATGGTCAAATGATGTGTTTCCATGTGTGTGCATCAAGGTTTAGCATATGATGGTCAGATGCAGAAGCACCAGTGTATTTGTGGGGACAACAGCCGTCACGCTGAGCATGCAGGAAGGATCCAGAGCATCTGGTCTAGACTGCATGAAAGGGGCCTAAGGAGTCAGTGTGAGGTATGGTGCACACACATTATCCTACAGATGCATACCCCATGACCATAGCATGCAGTCTAAATGTATATATCTGTATACTTCTATTTCTAGCGCATCCGCAGTAGAAAAGCAACCCTAGAAGAGCTGCAGTCAGTCCATTCAGAAAAACACGTACTTTTATTTGGCACCAACCCGCTCAACCGCCTCAAGCTGGACAGCCGCAAACTCGCTGGTAAGATCAATAACAAACGTGAAGAACACAATGACTATAGCGCAATTGTAATAGTAATAATGATAACAATATGTTCGTGTTATACATTATCCTCTGCAGGAATCCTGTCTCAACATGTTTTTTTGATGTTACCATGTGGAGGGGTTGGGGTAGGTGTTACACACACACACCTAAGCACACAAATTAAACAAGTCATTTTGGAATCTTTTCACTTATCTAATTGCAATGCTGAGCAACAAAAGCTGCATGGGTGGTTATGCATCATACACAGTTAAGCTAAGAAGACTACAAATTGCAATTGCTATTGTTTTTGGTTACTTTAAAATCTAAATTATATAAATGTAGGACATTGCATACATCGTTATTGCTCATGGCATATTCATCTACAATAGAGATGTGAGAAAAAGGAAAAGGAGAGGGAAAAAGATAACATAAAGACTGCATAAAAAGACTTCCAAGTGGCTTGATGTGGGGGAAACAGAGTATCAGGATAGAGAAAAGTCAAATTTAAGAGAAAAACAATAGTAGGAGAGCAGATCAGATTAAATGGAACAATGCACTATGGGAAAAGGAACAAAGCGGAGAATGACATGGGAACATTGATTATAATGCTATAAGAACTGTTGTTAGGAGAGGAGAAGACGAAAAGCTGAAGGGGGCTGGGTGTCAGTTGATAAGAGAACTGATCTGCCTGGATTTCCGGCCCTTGGCTACTCTGGTGAAGAGGGGTGATTGGAACAAGATGGAAAAGTCTGTGATAAAAGAAATTCCTCTGATTTCATTGTTCCCCAGCAGTATAGCATCATGCCACCAATAAATGACTTCTGACAAACAAGTACCATAGAAATTTTTTTTTAACTTAGAGCAGAAACAACAAAGAAAGAGTCGATGTACAAAGAAAAGTCTCTAAACAATGGTTGGCATAATGCACACAAAGGTTTAAGGTTATTTTTAGCAGATGAGCAAAATCTAATAACAGATTAAAATCTGTAGCTGACTTTTAAACTGACTGCAAGCATCTCCCCTCGTTTTTCTGTCAGGTGGATATTGATACAGTCTGGAACGAACATCACACATCAGCAGCCTCCCGCATTGCTGCAGGATGTGTCACAGACCTGGCACTGAAGGTGGCACAAAGAGAGCTGAAGGTGTGTCTTTATAACCAAATACCTCGATGCCATGGGCTTTGTCAAGAATTTCAAAACTGCAGTCTATCACCATAATGTGCTGCAAACCTTGGCAAAGCACCCACTATTGGTTATAACGACATAAAGACGTGAACCTTTTTCACGTGTGGAGATCTGGCGTTATAAAAGCAGCAAAGTGTTGAAGGTTTTTCTGCCCTTTTTTACAGAATGGCTTTGCAGTTGTGAGGCCCCCTGGACACCATGCAACCCATTCCTCCCCTCTGTAAGTACAGCAGTGTACACGCACACACCACACACACACACACGGACACATACCAGGAGCCAGCAGGCCTGCAAAGTGTTTCAAAGGATTTATTGCAAACCAGCTATACTTCTGAGCAAGAGAGAGAGAGAGAGACAGAGTGCCCGGCTCTCTCTACCTTAATGTATGTGTGTCTGAGTCTGTGCTGTGTGTTACCTGCTCGACGCCCGAGGCAAACTTCCTCCTCCACTCAGTTTCTTTTAAGCTTTCAAGGCACAAAGCAAAGCACCTCAGAAGAGCAGTGTACATGTGCGTGCACAGTAAATGTGGGTCTTTGTGTGGATGTGCATACTTGCGTGCATGAATTTGTGTCAGTCTTTGATTAGAGGCATTAGCCAAGTAACCACATTCAGCTGGGACTCTATGTGTGTGTGTCTGTATCTGTGTGTGTGCTCAGCATTGCTTGTCACTGGTTATTTATGGGATGATAATGACTTTTCTTGATGAGCAAAGTTTAGACAGCTTATAATATATACCGTTCACGGAGACAGTCACACTTTACGACCCATGCTGACACTGCCACTTCCAACATTCCTCCATTGTTTTTCCTACATCAACACATTTTTTTTGCATACCTTTATAGCGGATAGTGAGTGTTTAGGGATCGGCTGCACCGAGTTGTGAGTTCATTTCTCTAAAATGATCTCACACGTCCTGCCCGCTGCTCTCGCTGCACTATCATTTGGAATGAGGAGTGGGTTGTTTTTTTTATTTTATTTTTGATAACCTTGGTTGTCTATTTGTCAGAGAATTTGTGGGTTCTGCATTTCTCAAGAGTGTGAGATTTTCTACTCAGCATAACGTTTTTTGTTTGTCAGCAGACGAAACAGCTCGAACTGAAACGTCCTCATTTCTCAAATATTTGCTGTAAACATTAACGTGGCAGGATCATCCCTCTGTGACTTTCAAGCTGGAGTCAGCGCTGTGACTGTCGCAGCCTGGACTAAATAGCCACCATATGATAACTGGAGCCTTTCCTTAGAGGTTCCTAAGGTCCATATGGTGGTTCTGTGATATTAATTTAGTGAAGATGTCGTGATAAAGACATGTGGCTGCCACTCTTCCTGTCTGTTTGTCCACAGGGGCTTCTGTTTCTTCAACTCTGTGGCCATCGCTGCCAAGCAGCTCCAGCAGAAACTCAGCGTCAGCAAGATCCTCATTGTGGACTGGGTGAGGACCCACCGCATGACCAGCATCACTGGTCTCCACATGGACAGGAATAAACACACAAAAACACAGATGCAAAGGCACACAAATGTGTTGTAGGTACAAACAAGGTCCCAGATGCAGTAGCACTGCTATTTATCATTTAATTGAATTAGACACTGTTATCTCTGGTAGCCATGTGTGAGCTGAACGCTCTCACACCAGGGTTGAGGTCTTCACTCAAAAAATGTAAAATATTAGACTTTGTCTTAAAGACCAATCTTTTGCATAACACGACAGTTATATATCTTGTCATATAACTGCCAGTTATTTGACAATATAGCTATACCATAACAATGTATGTCCACAAATCCCTTTATTAATAAGAGACATAGGAGGATGTGGACCTGATCGCCGCACATCTCCATCTCCAAGTTATACACTACTTCTGTCCGGTACTCCATAAAAAGACATGAAAGTCTACATTTAATTATTTTTTTATTCCACCCATTATACAGTTCACATCTGCAGATATTGATCCACTATCACATGGTCACCTCTGTTCAGCATGTGTGTATAAGATCTTGCATGCGCTCTGTCATTGTTAGTTACTGCATCAGCACTGACTAATACCTGATTTATTAAATACAATTAAAATGCGTCTCCTGTTGACAGGGAAAAGCATGAATGCTTTACAGATTTTTCTTCCTGCGTTCGGGGTCATATGTTTAACACATGCTTTTGACTTAAAAAAAAAATACACTGCTCAATATAAAACATACAAATTGTTTTGAATTTGCCAAGGTTAAAATTCTGTGTGAAATAACAGCGCGAGTCCTTGGCAGCTTCATAACTAATCATATAATCACTCTCCAGGATGTACACCATGGCAACGGCACCCAGGAAGCCTTCTACAGCGACCCAAGTGTGCTGTACATCTCTCTACATCGCTATGACGATGGCAACTTTTTTCCTGGTAGTGGACACCCCAGCGAGGTAAGTACAAAACACTCCTCCACAGCCATGCTATGCTTTTCTGCTTTTGCTTATAATCCTGGTATCAGCTTTCTGATTGATGACAGTGAACACATTAGCCTAACAAGACCACAGGTTCTTCTTTTTGATTGTGGACATTCATGTGGCTATTTCTCATTACTAACTTGGCTGCCTGAGATAGTTTATAACAATATAATCAAAGACATCATGAAGACAGATATGCTGGCACAGAAATGTTTGGTAATTATGTGATTCCTTTAGGATATTAGGGATCTCAAACGCTTATGTTTAACATTTACTTGCTAAAACAGGAAGAATTATTGTCCATTCAGTCAAGGAATTATCTGCATAATGTAAACTTCCAACTGCAAAATCAGTTTGGTTGTGACTGACTTTTCACGATTGCAGTCTGCACTATAGATCTGTTCTCCAGCAGTGTATGGATGTGAGAGTCAAATATATGACCAGTCAGAGTCAATTACATCACAATTACATTACATTACTAATACAACTGGATTCATGACGCTATAATTTGAGCAACGAAGGTTACGGTTCACTTTTGTTAACTGTCAGTCCGGCATCGTCATGACAACCTATTACGGATACCCCAGATGTCTTTTGAATTCACCATGTGCTCATCTCATTGTGTTTGTGAGTGGTTTACGTCGAATTTCGAATGTATTTAAGCAACTTCAGGTCTTTGGATGTTGAAGCTTCCCAGCAGGATGTGCACGGTTTTGCATGCCTATGTTTGCATACAGGATATTGAGATGCCTATGAATTCTGCCTGTGGTCTTACCAGAAACCAAGTGTGATGACAGCCCTCAGGCAGATGTACTGACCCGAACCCACGCTGGCATTCATCGCCCGCTCAGTCACTCGCATTCCCTCATATATTCTCCCATCTCCCCCAACAACAATGCGGATAAAATAGTCAGTGTTTTCTCATAAAATCCCACGAGGAGGGGACGCGGCATTAAATGCTTTTTTGGCTTGGATGTGGCTTTGCCTTAAGTGGCCTCTCAACCTCTGGTGAACAGTGCGGTAAACCTCTGGAGTCTCGCTGTCCCCCGTGTAGGTATATAACGCACCATGGGGTAGGGAGTGTGATGTCATAGGCATAACAGAGAGTGCCGAGTACCTCACAGAAACCAGCACAGGCCTAATCCAGTCCAGCAATTCTTGAAACATGAAAGAGAGAAAGAGGACAGAGGGGAGTGCAAGAAACTCGGAGCTATAGAAGGAGTTGCGTGTGTGTGTGTGTGTGTGTCCACGAGCACGTGCGAGCGTGCATGCGGGTACATTACCAGTTGGCAGAGGACAGGAGGCCTCATGTGTTTTTCGTTTGCCCTGTGAACATCCCGTCCACTGAGAGAAGAATGGAGACAGACGCTCTGCGATGCTCATCAGCATTCTTTTCTCTTTCAAGCATCCTCTCACACCCATGCACACACACACACGTACGCACACACAAAGAAAATTACCACACATCTTTGCCAAGTGCGTGTCAATCAACCGCCTCAATCTCTCTTCAAACTGACACATTGACTGATGGTGAAAGGCCTAGAGAGCAGCTAAATGGCTGCTAGCAGGACTACAAAGAGAGAGGCAGGAATCCTTAAACCTTCTTTCCAAAGACCCGGGACTCAGTTCACTTTCTGCCCCAAAATATTTGAGGTCAAACTGACAGGAGATCCACTCGACTTTGTGTACTCTGCTTGGCAATTTCAAGTACACGCCAAGTCCAATACAGCTTGAAAAAAATCACTCAAATATTTACAACATGTAAAATGAGCAGTATAGCGCAGTATGTCATGTCTTTTCATTTGATATGTCATACACATGAAACTCTCTAAACATCCATATAAAAAAGCACATTATGCAGTCATTTCAATCACATAGCTTTTCAGTACATAAAACAGTATGCAACATGCGGTATGTGACTCTTATTTGTAGTTGTTTTTTTTGTTTTTTTTTTATATAACATGCAACAGTTGCCAAATGAAAAGTACTTCCCAGTATAGCTGTAAGCCTAAATCTTGGGAACCGTTAACGGGTGTAACTCTGTTGTGGCTCCGGGTGATTTATAAGGCCATTTGACAAATTGTATCAAAATCAAAATGGAGGGACAGGGGTGTTGAATTAACAGCCATCCGTCTTTCATTTAGGAATCATAATCACTCCCTCGTGCTGCCTTAAAGAGATGCAGCCACTTCGCCTCGGTTGCTGCAATGCAAAAGTTTTGCAACAGCGGTGCTGATTTTGTGAACATTTGACACAAATCTGTCAATGTCACACAGTTTCTCAACTTTCACTGGGACTCATTAACTTTCTCGACATTGACGGACACTCTTTCTCTCTGACACACTCACCCCCCTCTCTCTCCCCCTCTGTGTTTGTCTTCATCCAGGTGGGTGCAGGTCCAGGTGAGGGCTTCAATGTCAATGTAGGATGGACCGGAGGACTGAACCCTCCAATGGGCGATGCTGAATACCTGGCTGCGTTCAGGTAAAGAAGTTCTTATAATACTGTAGTAATGAAGCATTTAAAGGTCTATACTGGTGTTTGAGATACTTGCCAAAATAAAATGAAGGTAGCATAGACCTCAAAACTTGAGATAGGTGTTCACCCCCCTAGAACATTATATTTACGTTTGACTTCTCTTACGGTTAGTGTCACACATTGTGTTGCCAGCAGTGTTTCTCGCTTGTTGCGCTCTCATTCTGGCTTAAAGCTCAGCAAGCAGCACGTAATTGCTTGCCCAATATTCAGTTTTGAATCCAAGGTACACTTATCTCCTCCTTCGTCATGTCAGTGCGCCTATCAACCTTCAGCAGTCAACACAACAGCTGTGCATGCAGCTCAGCTCGCTTATGAAAGCACTTTAGTCATTTAGCATCCTCCACACACATCTCTAATACGCAAGCTGATCACTCCCAGGTAAAGCACATTCTATTCAAATCACAGTACCACGAATACACATGTTGACTATGAGCCAGCTGCTACCCAGTGTCAGTACACTTTGTATGGGAAGGGCTAAACAATAATGATTTTTTTATATAACATGTGTAATTTCACATTATCGATATCATTTTTGAACTAATTCCAGAGGCCTACGTAGGCTTGTTACCCAGACACACCTTTGGTCTTGCAGCACTTTTCGTTTCATTCAAGCTATTTTTCTTGAATGAATATGCTTTGATTCTGCACCACACTCTCAAACACACGTAATGAACTCAGAATGTTTCTGTCAGCAACACTGGCTCACCACCAGATGATTAAGCTCTCTACATGGTGCTGCATGCACCAGACACAGTGGGTGGGCCCCTCGTCAACGGAAAGATGCTAATGAGCTAACCCATTCTGGTAAAATCCATACAGCCAATAGGCATCCTCAGAAACACTAAGTCCAGTGTTTACTGGAGCCCTGGATACTAATTAAGAAACAACTGGTCCTTTCCTGAGCAGCCGTCTGGTTTTGGTATCTTTTATCCAGTTTGGGGAAATGGCAAGCTTTTTCATGTGTAAAACTTCCTTAGTAAACCGCAGTAGAGTACTGTACTGTATTGTGTGTTACACATAAAAGCTAATATCAAATCATAGCTCTGTAGCGCAGGAGTGTCGTGGTGGTCCGTGGCAGTTGGAGGCACATACCGTGTAGCCGTGTCCGGGGCAACCTTTATCATATGTCACCACAGAGACCAGAATTCCTCAGTTATAATTGGTTGGGTTTGGGGTTAGAAACAAAGAACAACTTATATTAAGTTTGAATCATTTTTCTGTGAACTTTGCCACCATTCTGTGAATTAACCAGTGCGAATAAATGCGTAGCATGCTTTACAGACAAAATTTAATGCATCATGAATTTGTGTTTATGCAATTAAGTCTACCTAACCTTGTGCCAGCTCTGTAATTCAATTTGATTTAGATGACAGGGTGTTCCAGACTCTCTGTGTTTCTGCTCGGGATGGAACAGAAAACTAGCCAGAGTGCGGTTACTGATGATGTGTGTCTCTGTTTTTGGGTGTGTATCGAAGGAATATTGTGGTCGGGAGTGGTGGTGGGACTCTAGTACAATCAAGAGAGAGCTCAGCTGCTTTGAGATTAAGCGTCATGATGCATTTCGTATTTGTGTGGAGGATTACTAAGACGGTCAGGATTTAAGCTCGGCCGAATCACCAGTAGCACACCATGAATCAAACTTGCAGTTTCAAAGGAAGAGCATGCATATGCAGGTATTGCAATGTGTACATAGTGTGTATGTGCATGTAAATACATTTCCTGTGTATTTCCAAGTGGCTACTGACCAATGATGAACTGTGGAGGAGAGGAGAATAGAGCAGAAGAGAGGAGAAGAAGTGGGGGGTACATTGTTAGGGAATCCAAAGGCGGCGTAATTAGGCCCAATGGATCCCAGATGGCTGGCTGTCAGTGACGTGAGAAGAGGGACGAGCTCCTAATAGGAACCAGACGCACACAAACGTCTTTGAACTGCCGCTGAGAGGGGGTGGGGTGGGGGGGTGGTGGGGGAGAGTGAGAAAGAATCAAACGCGGCATGGGCCGTGTGCTCTTGCTAAAAAACTGGCAGCTAGAGACAAGAGGAAGTAAGAAGGAGAGCAAAGAAGCAAGAAAGCTGGGCTCCCATGAGTGGAGTTTACAGTCTGTGGACACCTCAGCCTTTACCTGTTTGTAACATGCAGAGAAAAACTTTTAATTGTGTCCCACTTGTAGACCCATATCTATATAGATAGATAGATAGCCAAGTAAGGTATGCAGAGCACTCGTTCTTCTTTTTTAACGGCTTCACATTTAAACAGTTGCACACATTCACACCTGGGAGGTGCCCCACCTTCCACGGTTGGCTGCTTACCAAGAGTGGATCAAGAACAGAGATGAAGCACTTGGAGCACTGCCTTTGATAATTTCTCTTTTCATGATTTTCAAATAGGGGAGCTATTTGCAATCACTTACAATTAAGTAAGTGTTTGCAGTTAACAATCCAGATAAAAGTTGTGAAGTATATGAATGCTCTTTGTGAAATCAGTCACTTCAACTCTTTTTTTTTGTTCAAACTCTCTTCATTACAATAATTAATCTGTTACAGCGTGCTCTGCTGTTAATTTGATCACACATTATGTTCTACTCACCCCACCCCTCAGTTCTCATTTTCTCTCAAATCATGAACACCTGTTGAAAAAAAAATTACTTCTTAAATGTGCTGTCTAATTTCTGCCTGGCCACACTGCTTGATGAATAGAACATAACACGCAGTGTTTGCTTTACGCCATTGCGTTTCCTTTTGTGGTCCTCAGAGCTGTGGTGATGCCCATCGCTCACGAGTTTTCCCCTGATGTCGTCCTCGTGTCAGCTGGCTTTGATGCTGTCGAAGGACATCCATCATCGCTCGGAGGATACAAGGTTACAGCCAAGTGTAAGGTTCACCCAGCCTCTCATTCAGCACACTTCCTGATCAACGTGCTCCTATGAGCCTTATGAGTTATAATAAATATTTGCATGTCCTGCATTTGTTAGATTTCTTATTATTACAGTTACAAAGGTTGGCTATCCTTCACAGACTGTTGTCAAACAGATAAACACTCTTATGCTGTGCAGACTTAGTGCTGATGTCAGATATTATCACTGATGTGTAACGCAGTTTTCAGAGTGCAGCTTTGTAGAGAAGTTAAAGTTTGTTTGTAGAACCTGTTTCTTTATATGAGCCAGTCTTTATGTTTAACTAAAACTCATCACCATAATAGACTGTATATAAAAATGCACATAGGCACTGTGATGTCATTCTTTAGTTTGTTAAGCCCCAATTTGAAGATTTTAGTATTATGGACAGTTCTTTTTTGAGTAGTTTCTCAAGCCAGATCATCTGCTCTGTTAGCAAGCTAAACCTGTAAATAGCCGCTATCCGGTGCTAATATGTGAATCAATTATTAGTAAACTAACTATAACTTGGACCCAGACTTCTTGGGATCTTCTTCAGTTGTTAAAAAGTTGTTAAAATAGTTAAAATGCTCCACATGTAACCACTGTCTACATGTGCAGTCCAGTTAGTGGAGGTGAAGCAGGCAGCTGTTACAGTAGCTGCATCAGTGTACCTGCCACATCTCCAATTATATTAATTTTACACTTCAAAAAATGTAGTTTAACCAGTCCTAAAACAATCTGTAAAACTTTCATATAGATGGAAATGAGCTGTATAGACCAAACCCGTTTTTGTAGCAGGCTGTATACTCATATATATTTATTTCTGCTGCAATTATTATGGAGATTGACTCGTTTTGCAGGCAGCCTCAAGTGGACATTAGTGGAACTGCAGTTTTCAGTGCTTCAGCATAGGCTTCATTTTTTAGGCTTCAGACCTTTGCATAATAAGAAATGATGTCACCAGTCAACATGATGTTGTGAAATTATTCTCAGTAATTTGTCAGAGTCCGGTGTGCAAAGTGTGGCTAACTTTCCACAGCACTGATATAATCCCATACAATCAATTTCTGGCTTAACCTTTGTGTATTCGGTTTTGTGCATGCTTTGTTCTCCACCAGGTTTTGGCTTCCTGACCCGTCAACTGATGTCACTGGCCGGCGGTAAGGTGGTCATGGCTCTGGAGGGTGGGCATGACCTCAAAGCTATCTGCGATGCCTCCGAAGCCTGTGTGAGCGCCTTGCTGGGCATGGAGGTTGGATGTGTTTTTGCGCATACAGAACATGTGTCTTTTCACAGATACCTACAGCATGTTTCCCTCTCTAACCTCTGACCACATGTGCCACAGGTGGAGCCTCTGTCCCAGTCAGTGTTGGACCAGAAGCCCTGTGAAAATGCGGTGCTTTCTCTGCAGAAAGTCATCCAGATTCATGGTGAGAATACAACATGCAGCATCAAAAACCATCACCAACATGACACTGAGCAGTCTTGTGAAACTTGTGGAAAATATTGATCTAAAAAAATAATCTTCGTTTCATTAGTTTGAAAGATTTTGTTGCTGTTTTTTTTAACTTCATTCTCCACTGTTTGCCTCAGTTGTCTTTAGTATCTTACTCTCTAAGGTTGGCCATAAGCTATTTGAGTCATAAACACCTTTAAACTGTCAAAAGAAATAGTAAATCAAAAACAAATGTCCATCATTATCTTGTGGAAGTGGAAGAGATGGCTAGCACTCACTGGATGTGCTCGCTTCCAGAATTGTTTCTCAAGAAAGTTGCTGTAATGGGAAAGTTAGTAATGGTCCTTGGGCTGAAATATGTGCTTTTATTTGAAAATGAGATCAAAGAAAGGGCTTGCTTGCAAAATTAATAATTATACCACTATGTTCACTTCCTTATACATGAAAGGATTTCAAGTCAAGTCAGATTGTTTTAATATTGGCCCAAAAATCACACCGTGCGGCTACAGCATCCTCTCTCCGCGGATAAAAAGAAACACTTCAAGATGAGCAACAGAGGAGGAAGAGTGAAATTACATCAACGCTACTAATTCTAATGACTGTAGAGCAATTTAGCATTTTTATTTGAAAGGAATTTCATCAAAATATTTTTCGGCTCGATTAAAAACGTTTTCGTCAAGCTAAAATAAAACATGTCTATTTTTTTCCATCACTAAGACTTCTCACATCGCCCCTACTGTCCGACCACCTCTCCTCCTTTACACCCCTGTCTCCCCATCTCTCCCTCCAGCCGTCCCACACACAGACAGACAGACACACACACATACGCACACACACAGCCGCCCTGGCTCCAATTATCTTCAAACACTTCTCTGGCACACGACCTTCGCAACATCCCCTTCTGATTGCACACAAATGTTATCCCAACCAAATTAGATTAATTAAAAATATTTGAATAGCCACAAGAATGTTAAGCCCATAATTTAGGCCCGGGGTGAAATATATGTGAGTTGCATTCGCAGCCAGAACACACACGCTCAGAGATGAGCACATTTGCAAACTCTAATTTTTTTTCCTTTCGCTGTGTGACACGGGACTCGAGGCCCTGAGAGAACAGATTGAATTTGAGTTTACATTCGTGAAATTATCAACATGGATATTTAGACCACGGGCTGTTTATGTCACAGTCATTGCTTATATTCAGATCAAACGGCTACAACTAGCGGATCAAACACCGTGCAGTGCTCTTTAATAATGGAGACGCCTTCCCTCAAGGAACAATTCAGGATGAAAACAGCTCTGAAATACCAATGAATGCGGCCATTAATCTTTTCTCTCTCCTGTTTTCCTCCCTCCTCTCCATCTTTTTTCCATTCTTCGCTTCCCGCAGGTGAGTACTGGCAGAGTTTGAAGGATTCGGCCTCCACAGTGGATATGTCCTACTTGCAGGCGCAGAGACGAAGACTGAGACGAGACTCGGACAGCGAGGCTGTCAGCGCCATCGCCTCTCTGTCGATGGGGTCTCTCGCATCTGACAGGTAGGGGCAGCTCTGTGTTTCATATCTTCTGCTTTAGCACTGCCATAATGTTGTACTTTATGCACGTTTAACCCTTATCTTTCTCTTTGTCATCAAGGAAACCGTCTGAGAAATGATGGAGAAAAGGTGATTCTCCCTGAAGAAAGACTCGAGCCTCTACACACTCCACACACACGCACACAAACACGCAAAGCAGCGCTTTGGATCGTCACTGGAAGCAGATGTCACTTCACAAAAACTCCACCTGTATTACTACTGGCTGAATTCTGACCCATCTGATCCAAACACACACACACACATCGACGACCGGCAATCACCTGGGCCGCGTTCTCACTCTCATCCCTCGCTGCAATGAGAGCTAAAGCTAAAAGAGACACCCAGGTGCAGATTAATGAAGGGTTTTGCAACAACGTGATGTAGCATATACACCTTGAGAGAAAAACACATCTCTGCACATTTGCAGACTGAATTAAAATGACTCCAGCACAACTCTGAGCAAGAGCCCCAAGACTGTTAGAAGGAAGGGTCAAAGGTCGCCTCAGCTTATCGAAGCCACTCAGTTTGAGAAGAAGGAGTCGTCCCCAAAAGTACGTGCGAGTGATGGAGCGCAGACGTATCCCTCGGCCGCGATGTCATTCGTCTGCGTGCGACCGCGATCGAGCGGGTCATCCTGCACTGCACGTTTGTTCTCATCATCAGTTCATCTGACCGGAGGAACACTTTTTTTGGGGGGGGATGACATTGTTTTTTAAGAATCATGAGTGAAGCTACAATGAGGTCTGACATACATATTTTTTTTCAGCGTTTTCATCATTTCTTTCTTGGCGTACCCAGGGCGAGCGCGTGTAGCAAGACCTCGGATTGCTGCAGTTATTTGTATCGCTCCTCTGAAGTGCATCTTAAATATGTAGATATGCTGTAGTTAGTGGTGGTAGCATTAGTCACAATGAAGAGCTGATACCTCCAGTCGCTGTGGTATTGATATTCGGGGGAAGGGGGGATAATAAGCCTGTCAGATAAGACAGAATCACCCATGATGCCTCAATGCAGTGTAACCACTCAGTAATGATTGTACAAGTGACAATGCACATCAGTTTTTAACATTTTGGATGAGACTCGCATCCAAACACTCACTCACACAAAGTGCACTTATCTCGCCCTCGGAAACGAGGGTCAGAGCGACTCGGGTCTCAAAATCTGAACTTTGATGTTTCTACCTGTGGATGAGCATTCCTGCTGTATTTGTTACATGTTTTTTTTCTATTATTATTATTTTTTTTTAAATCTGATCTGTCTTCTGTTCATCCCCTACGTAGCGCCAGTCTATTTACTGTCATCCTCGGAGATGTTACGCTCCCCGGACCAAACAATGGCATGATAGTGGTTTAGTTAGGATGAAGCAATACTGAGATAGTTAAATATCCACACAGTGCAATTGGACACAGGTTAAGTACAACCAAAGCTTATGAGAACAATGTGTTGTCCCTGGACTGGCATGGCCTGAAGAACTTCAAAGACTTTGAAGACTTTGCGAATGTTTCTTTTCTCAATCCAAACAGTCGAAAAGCACCAAAAAAAAAAACGCAGGACATTTATATACGCAAATCAATTCGACATGACTCCTATTTATATATTCAGATTCTGTGTCTTTGAAGTGCTCTTTGCATGTCTAACATGATTGTGATGGTGCTAATACAGTATGTCTGATTGTTTGTTTTTTATTCTAGTTTGTTTGTATTTTACTGTTGCACTCTGTATGTAACTCACGGCCTTTCCGACATTTGTTGATGTTACGAAAATGTGAAAAACGAAAGACATCCTGTAGGACATCCTGACGGAGGAGCGTAGCTTTCAGTCGTTGTTTGTTTTTTAAGAACGTTCACGACAGCGACCTGACATATCACGTGTCTTAATCAGTGTAAATGATCTATTTTTTTATTTGAGCCCAAATAATGAACCCTGTGCACTCGGAGACCAAATTATCAGTCGAAGGATCGTTCTGACCAACCTGTGTAAAGGTAGCCTTAACAAACTGGAATTTTTACTTTAGGTCAAGTCCAGTTTTCTTTATAACTGACTGTCTTGATTTTTTTTCTGTACAGTGTACATAGCGACATTGGTTTTGTTGTCTTACTTTTGCCTTTTTCTACTATTTTCACCCAAAAAAACCTAATAAAGGTAAATTATGTACATTTTAAGAAAGATCAGTTGTTTCTTTTTTCCTATTTTACTTTTTTTTTTTCTCTTTGTTTGGTCATTTTCTTTTCCCAGCATTCTCCATTCTCCTTCAAAAATACAATATTGTACTTATGTACAGCCATGAGGAAAAAAATTTATTTCCACAGGATATCACACAAGAGAGATGATCATAAGCAAATTCAAAGCAGTACAAAAGCAACACTTTTAAACCACATGGTTACAAATGAATCTGCTGTGGCTCAAATCACTTTGTCGCCACTTTGGCACATTTTATACGAAAATTTCCGCTGTTTTATTTTTGCGTTTTTTTCAATGAAAATAAGCTTGCAAAGATATTTTAAAGCTGCTGGAATTAAAACAAACAAAGAAAAAAACTACTTAAATGAGATTTTCTTGCAATACAAAATGCAGCTTTCTACTAGAAAAGAGTAAAATGAAAAACAGAGGGGGCTGAACTGGGATCAGTGGTGGTATCAAGACTTTTTCCTTTTTTTTTCCATTAAAGGCGAGAGCAAAGGATAAGCAGAGTTTAAAGTAATACAGTGTGCGTATACCGATTCACATACACTCTAAAACCCACAAAATACACAAAAAGCGATCCAGTTATTACAAAGTCGAAGATCTGCGCCAAATTCCTCGTGCTCTTCCTCTTCCCTCAAGACGGGGTCTTCAGAGCCAGAGCGATTAGCTTATTAGCATTTTAGCTGTAAACATTCATTGGCTGTGACCGCCCTCTAACCATCACTGTGCCATTATCATTAGTCATCTTAATGTCTGTCTGGCAGTGAGTCATCCACTGTGAAGACTTGGGTGGATCTCGCCGTGGTGGTTATCGCCGTGTAACCGAAGGCACTCGAACCAGCAGCCATTTTGTTTCATTGTCACCGCAGGCCAGCTGTTCGTTGATCTTTGTTTATTTTTTATTTTTTTAAAAAGTTCATTTCAGTTTCATCGTTCAAAGTGTTCAGCTCTTCGTCGGACCGTCGAGGGATCTTCACCAGAGTTTCGGGAACACTCGGTGAAGGCCGGGCGACGGCACGGAGGCCAGACTTGTCCAGAGAAAGAGAAAGTTTTCTTTTCCTTTTTTTTTTGTTTTGTTTTTTTGTTTTTTTAAAGTGGAGATATTTGTCAAGGCAGGAACCAATTTCTTCGAGTGTAGTGAAGTTTCCATTTGTCAGTTTTCTGCAGGGAGAAGAAACATAAAAGGCAAGTTAGCATTATGGGCATTTTATAGCATTTCACACAAATTAAAGACCGGGTGAATGTGTTGAGGATACAACATGTGAGCGCAGACAAGCAAAAACGGAAAAATCCCCACAGCTCTTCAGCTTCTCCTTTTAACAGGCAAACATTTCATCTGGATCATTTTCAGCTTTCCCTAATTATAGCGTGCCCTTCCGCGATACCACGAGAAGTCTTGCGAGCGGAAGCCGGATGTATGTGTGTGTTAGGGCTAGGGTCACATGACTTTGATCGTACCCCGAAAGCATGCCGCGTGCATATTCCCATCCAAAAGGTGCTTTGTTTTTCAAGTCACAGAGCGTGGGGCCACCTCTTTTGTGCTGGAAAGCCATTAAACACCCTGCCTCACATTTTCATGCCCGGTCAGTATTTAAATGCACACTTTTTTTGTATTTGATTAATTTATGTTCACTAATTACGTCTCTGGAAAATAGTTTTTATTGGTACACCTGCACTGGATTCAAGCCAAGTTTATTTGTTAAAGAAAGCACATGTAAAGGTTTTCGTGTGGGGGTCGGTCCTTATTAATGTTTTTAAATGATTGAACGATTTCTGTTTCCTTATATTGTGTAAGCGTGCAGATTCTGATACACTCTGGGCTTGTGTTATGTGGTTCTTTGCTGCCTACGTGTCAAACCAGAAGACCTTCCTCTATCCCTGCAGCTGTCTGACCAGCACACGTTCGAATGCACGCTCGAGCGCATATGCGTGGAGCAGTCAAATGTACACACACGCACGCACACACACAATCCTCCCACCTGCACTCAGCTCTTAGTTTGGATCTCTAAAAATAAAGATGACTCTCAGAAGCCACGACTTCTGGATGAGGCTTTTAAAAACGCAGATGAGCCGCAGAGGACTTTACATCTGGTCCCAGATCAGCCAGCAGCGAAAGCCAGATATTTAATATGTGCAGAAGAGCGTCCAACAGCTGGTCAGTCCAAATTGTAAAACACCACACACACATACGCACACACACATATGTGCACAGATGCAGCAGAGCCAGGGGTTCCGGCACAGGAAAGCAGTGACAGGCATTGTGATTATAGTATAAACAGAGGGGAGAGTCTTGTTTGTTCCAACTCAGACTGAACAATCGCTTCATTCTGAACATCTCACGCTGAGCCAGACACCCACACATCTTCAAAATCGTGCTCATGAAAATGCACAAAAATGTCTGCGCCGATTCGTGTTCGTGTGTACATGCTGCGGGCTTCCAAATAAAATATAAAATGTTCTTTTACACCAAAAGCAGTGAATTTTATAAACTTTTTGTTTTTTTATTTCTTTGCTTTTTTTTTTTTGCTTTTGTTGCAATATACTCATCAATTGAACAAATAAATAAATAAACAACTATGTGATTTCTTTGAAAAAATCTGAGGTAGGAAAAAAAGCAGGAACACTATGCAGTCCTCTAGAATATTTTAAAGCCTTAAATGTACGTGTATGGAATTTTGAATTTCTGAATAATGTATGAATTACATATGTACTATCTGTTTATGTATTAACTGTCTATCTGCTCTCCAACTCTATAAACCATTTTTGTACGCTGGTCATTCTTAAAGAAGAGGCACTGATGTTGTTCAACATCTTTAAATAAAGGATGTAACAATTATTCACTGATATCTGATACCACACCATAAACAGCCTTAAACAAGGGAACATTACAAGCACGTCATGTGATGTCAGTTGTTTGGGTTATTTTGTCCAACACCAAGTAAAACAAGTACACATGGCCTCATCAACACACACACACAGACTGTTTTAGGACCCGTGCACGTCCGCCTTTGAAGTGTCCTGACCCTTTCTAACCTCAGCTCTTTCCTAAAATTGCACGTTTTGGTCGTGCAGGCGCAGGCCTTGAGTTTGCAGCACTTTCTGTGGCGGCCCCTGCAGAGCTGATGATAACAGGCAGAGCAGTCAAAGTGGTAGGTAATAACTACAACGATGCGTTCAAGGACAGTCGTGTCCACGAGCAGGGGCCTTGGCTTTCCGCTGATTGGAGCCCTCCCCAACCCCCCGCTCCACTCCACGATGTCTGGTGAGTTAGCTCAGAGTGGAACACCTGCGGTGTGCACATAGCAGCAGCTGCATGTGTGTGTCTGGACAGTGTAATATATATGTATATAAGCACGGGTTGTATGAAGCCCATGTGCAGCAGTACCTGTAGTATCATTTGTGATTCGGGATGAATGCTGCATATGTTTGTAATCATTTAAAGGCCTGATCAGAGAACTGTGTCTGTGCCTGTTTGCAGTGCATGTGTTCACCTTGACCTGCGATCTAGCTGTTAGAAAAGCATGTTGTACTGAAACCCAGATTAATCTCTGCTCGGCCTTTGCTCCTCACAATCTCTTCACCCGCCTATCTTTTTTTTAAAATAAATCCTTTGATGTTGTCAAAGACCTTCATGGCCTTTTTTTTTTTTTTTTTTGAAGAAATATAACTAAGTCTGACCAAACTGAAACCAGAAGATGGGAGAGATAAAAATCACTGAAACAACATCTGCAAATGTATTCCTGTTTACTTATATGCACATGTTTGCACACAAACACACACACACACACACACACACACACTGCTGCACAGCTAATTAAAGCTCACTACAACCACACAGACACAGCAAGCACACACAAACATGTGCTGACATACACAGCCCCGTGTGGCTGACCCTAACCCCGGTAGACACACCTTCCTAATACCTCACAACTGTTTCCAATCTAAAGGTTCCTGCTTGTCTGGGCCCCAGCGAGGCCTGATTGCACGATATAAGATCCTGAGGAGAGAGGGCAAGGCTGCAAGGGAGAGAGAGAGAGAAAGAGAGAGAGAGTGATGTGCCTCCCCTCCCCCCCCCCCCCCCCTCCCCCCCCCACCCTCACTCTCCCTTTCTCCCCCACCCCCTTGCTGTACCTGTGCAGGAATCTGGTGTCTGTTTAAAACGTTTTTGGGGTTTTTTTTTGTCTTTTTTAAAAAAGCCCTGGAGACTGCAGAGGAAAACATTTGTCTTACATTCATCAGAGGAATGTCAAACACTGGAGTGTTGATGATGATGATAATGTGCTTTTAGCTGATTTTTGGTTTATAAAGCGAAGCAACCAGGATGCTCAAAGGACCTCTTTCTTTGAAATTAACGCTCTGCCCCTGATTGTGTTTTATTTAAGTCTGTGCACTAATCGTCCTCACCTTATCTGCTGGAAAGTGTTTTTATGGTGATTTTGAAAATGCATGGAGGGTGGTTAATGACAACTACACTGAAAAGAGAAAAAAAATTATAAAGAGGTGGGCAGACATTTTTGTTTGTGACTGAATGTGTTAGAAGAAGAAAATAGAAAATAAATTTTTAACCAATTAAACTATTTTTAAATTTAGAATTTTTTTTCCTTTTATCTACTTTCCTTTTTGCATAACTTTACCTTTACATACGTTTGTACTTTACATTATTTTAAATTTATATTTTGTCTATTATTAAATTAATGTATTTTTTTAAGAGTCCTACTCCAAAGTTTCTGATCCGTTTACACAAAACCAACGTGGGATTGAGTTGTATTTGAATTTCTTGTGTGTGTGACAAATATTTATACACAAAACAACAGATCATAACTGACAGTGTATTACTCTTTTTAAAATATGAATTAAAAATGAAACAAACAAAGAAAAAATACTAACTGGTAAGTTGTTTTGATGATTAGCTAATAAAAATTAAGTTAAGATTTGAGGTTTAAAGAAAACACATGCACACTGAAATCAAAGACTGATA